TATTTAAAGAACACCTACTATCATAACCATTTGATAGTGATTCATAAACAGGCGATCATAATAAAGTCGGTATCGAACAACAGACTCTTCTATTTCGAAAAAGCCAGTCTTTCAAACATATTGTGTATTGGAAACATTTACTATTTAAAGAACACCTACTATCATAACCATTTGATAGTGATTCATAAACAGGCGATCATAATAAAGTCGGTATCGAACAACAGACTCTTCTATTTCGAAAAAGCCAGTCTTTCAAACATATTGTGTATTGGAAACATTTACTATTTAAAGAACACCTACTATCATAACCATTTGATAGTGATTCATAAACAGGCGATCATAATAAAGTCGGTATCGAACAACAGACTCTTCTATTTCGAAAAAGCCAGTCTTTCAAACATATTGTGTATTGGAAACATTTACTATTGAATGTAGCCAGGTGTTAATTCCCATGAATGAAAAAGAGTTGGATTATACGCAGTTTTGAACAGCATTTCAGATGAATTATGTCGTGTTTGCTTGACGCTGAAGAAGAGACAGAGGTGATGCGTGTCTAAGGGGCAATCACACGGTACAGCTAGTTGCATGCAATTCTGTAGGTTAAACCTTTCACGGTGTTGTTTGAAACGACAGGCAAAGTGACTATGCACTGTTGGGCTAGATGCAATTAGGTCCATAAAACGTTTCTAAAACTCAAAATACATCACGTACACAAAAAACACGTCACAGTTTTCGATTCTGCGGGAAAGTATCTGCCATGTGATGCCATTAACAACTATTTTAGGCAAATATTACGCACATGTACGTACGACATCTGAACATAATGTACAAAGAAAATATCGCCACGTTTGCATTTTACCAATTCTCAATGTGATTATTTATTCGAATAACGGATAGTTCAATAACGGGAGGTTCAATAACAAAACTATCGGGTGTCTGCTCTTTGTCAAAACACCATTAATCGTATGCAGGAATTGATAAATAATCATCAGATACTTTGACAATGATTTGGAAAAGTCAACAGAAATTGTTCCACTTGACGCCATGACTGACGTAAAATCACGCACACTGACGACGGCATTGCCCTGCCTTTCCACATAGTCTAGTCTTAAGGGTAGAATTGAATCATAAAAAAAACAAAAAGAATATGCTGATTTCAGATTGAGTCTGATTATTTAACATACTTGACTCATTTAGGTATGTAAGCGATCCCTGCATCAAGGAAAATCTAACCCTGAATATGCCGCGTACCGATATCAGTGAACACGCTGTTGTGAAGGGGGGTTACCGGCAGTGGCATATTATTAGTGAGTGAGTGAGTGACTTTGGTTTTACGCCGCTTTTAGCAATATTCTAGCAATATCACGGCGGGGGACACCAGAAATGGGCTTCACACATTGTACCCATGTCGGGATTCGAACCCGGATCTTCTGCGTGACGAGCGAACGCTTTAACCACTAGGCTAGTCATATTATTATACGTCAACATCGTTGTACATATTAGTTATTGAGGCGCGGGTGAATGAGTACACGCAATTCATTTCCTGAAGTAGTATACTGTTTCAATCTTAATTAATTATCTTAATCTTAATAATTTTTGAATACATCTTGAAAATATTTTCGCCCAGTAAAAACATTTCACTGCTCCAAAACAGGTACATGTATCTTTTACTGTTTAATATTTTCTAAAATGCCATACAATTTACGACACATTTGATAATCTGCTGTTTGTTTGGACATAGAAATTGACATTGATCGTGTCGTGAAACGCAGATTCTTCCAATAAGATGCTTTGTGAACGTAATACTCTGCAGCATAATTAAAATTATGTCGTTCGGATATAAGGCAGAATCTTGTTCGCTCACAGTTTATATAAAGCTGTCAAATAAAACTCTATTGTCGCACAGTACTTTATCGATGTTACATACATATTACATGTTTTTTCGTCAGCAAAACAGGAACGTGGACAACATCTATCACTTACAGCTTTTCATATTGTCTTTAGTCTAACACATGGGGTATAAAATTTAATGCTATACAACTCCAAAAGATTGCAAACTCAGAGGTTAGCTCAGAGTCGCGCGATGTCAATTTTCACACAGCGTTAATTTTTCAAAACTGTACGTCTGAACATTAACTCGGCAACCAGCGGTGAATTTACATAAGTCATTGGTCAGAGATCCGCGAGATCCGTGTTGCTTGCAACTCGCCGCCGTGTAAATGCCGAGTTGTATACAACTTCAGTTCGTACAACTGATTGCATACAACAAGTTGTACCAACTAGTTGTACCAACTAGTTGTACCGGGGTGAATGCCTCTAGACGTTTTTACCATGTGAGCGGGCACGGGTATGGTGCTGACAAACCTAAAAATATTATCGGTGCGAATCGGAATTAGAACCATGTATCGTCGTTTTCTGGCATGCCAAAGGGACTCTGCCAAGATAATTGCTGCGCCTTTGACGATTGAACCACCTGTGCCGCCTTTGATAAATAATAATGACATACAAGTAGATCTTTGATATGAAGTATTGTATTTACACAAACTGTCTCCTGCCTGCTTGATAAGATGGTCAAAACGTTAGTTTTAATAAAGATTCAAATAAAAGACATGTTTTGAGATATGTTGCTCTTCGTCACAAAGTTAAATGAATTCAGGATATGACATCACACAGTTTGGGATGATGATGAAATTAATCTATAAAGGCTTATTTTAAATATAACTACATTCTTCCCTTCAGATGTCTTGAAGGATTGTGTTACAGGCAGGAGGTTTTCTGGGTGCGGAGTTTGACAACAATCAAACACTTACGTTTGTATGTACATTGTTTGAGTGGCGGGTGCTACCAGTAGGGCAGGATACGCCCACCCTTTCCGCGAACACCTGGTGTCATCACTGATTTTCAAAAATCCATTCATAAAATTTGTATCAATAATTTGACTTTTACGCCAAGTAGAATCTGTTTCGGCAGATAACCGAGATAACTTATTCTTGAACATATTTTTTTCACCTAATGGAAAATAAATTGGCACAAGTTTTGTCGAGAATGCCCTCGCCAAGAGATATTTACAATAATTCCATTGCAGTATAATATATTTACAAGAAAGGATGGCGCTAATTTCATTTAAACAAACCTTTGACCGTTACCAACGAAATCTTGGACAGAGCAATTTGCGTTGATTATTTATTAGCATCAGAAAGATGTGAAATGCCGTATTAAATGTAGTCGTACATTCATGTTTTACATAAACTACTATAACAGACTGCACTATAACTCCTACTATAACTCATACAATAAATTAATGAAAACAGTTCTCCAAGGACAAACTACAGTGTCAGGACGGTGTTTCCTTCATTTCAACCCATGATTAACCCTGATTTGGTTGAACAAGATTATGTTTTATTTCATGAGGGTAAGACCATTATTACATCCTCACCACTCGCCTGATTAGAACTACATTATGCGATGCCTCAAATATGATTAGTTCCCGCGAAATATATTATATGTGTTAATTAATTACCCCAGATGACGCCAAGCACGCACATACACATACATGTAGGTCAATTAAGGAGCCTATCAAATGAAAATTTAAGTAAATGTCAGCATGTATTCATCGAACGAAGCACACAATCTGACACTACATAATAGTAATCAAGTTTACATTCCAAAGAATAATAAAACAGCCATAATGTTTAAAAAAATCAGTTCTTATTATAGCATTTATATCGATCATTATGCTCAACTTACACTTACTTTTAATAAGCTGACTTGCCGTTTGTTGAAAGTGGCTCGATTTTCAAAATTCTATTTGATAATTAACAACTGCTCCGATATGTATGTTCAGCAAGTAATGCAGTGCTTTAAAGCAAAACTCAGTCATGATGAGCAAGTGACTGAAGTTTTAACACACCTACCTCCAGCATGAAACATTTTCGAAGATTGATTCACATAGACGAGTCAATTGAGAAGAGTCAGTTGAGAATATCGTTTTGTTGTGACAAGTCAGGGAAATAAACAGAGGTCTGGAACCTTTGGAAAATGGACAAACTTGAGGAAAATGCAGCGACTCAACTGACTCATAGTATTGTGGATATACCGCTCTGACATCATGTAATGTCCACAACAACAAATTTCCCTTTTTCAAAAGATAACGCAATTTCTTCCATATGAGGGTCATAACTTGTCAATCAACCGTCTTGAATAAATCAAGGATATATTTCGTTACGGAAGCCAGGCGCGAATTATTTTCATGTCAATACATGTATAGAAAAGACACACAACTAAAACATCTATTTAGGTTCTTGTTAGAGGAAATGAAATGGCAATGAAATAACACTATTCCTTCCTTCTTACAACAGTATATGGCAGCGACCGTAGAAGCGGTGGCGTCATGAATTCATATTCGGTATAATTCTATGAATTGTTTAATCGGCTTTACTTAGAAATTGGCGGATGATAAAGTAGAAAAATCTATCGTTGTCCCTGTGTGACAACGGTGAAAGGATCTATACCGAAACGTCGCCTTTACAGTAAATAGAGAAGTTGTCCATAAAGTGTCTCTATTTTTACAATTCTATGTATACAAAGACATTTGCAATGAGGAACAAACGTGTTTAAATACGGACCATGTTGATTCACCAACAGGCCTACATGCTGATATAGGATAGTTGTAGTGTTCCTGCTACGTAATACCCATGAAACATCCACCATCCCCGTGGGAATTCCGTGGTCCCCATCGTGGATAGTTGCTCATGATCTCTCTCACTGGATTCAGACGCTGCAGACCATAAAGCTGGTATTTTGCTGATTACGACGTTGAACAACAGACACACCAGCTCTAATGAAAACCTCATCCTCATGACATATGACATCCACCACACTATAATAGCCCACTGCCATACGCTGATGTACACCTACCCTGTGAAACCTTGTTGCCACCGACCGCTATCGCTGTGTATAATAAATGGCTCTACTCCCCATATATATTGTTAAGCACTTACCTTCATATTGAAACATCGTACCCATGTCCAGATTGCAGACGTCCTTGCATGTGTATATGTATGCATAGATAATGAACCACTACGCACCCGGCGCTGTCATTTGTTGTAAACGAAATACGAGCCCACCGAGGATTTAATATTCTGGAGAGATCTTAACGAGATCGATGGTGTCTCCCCAGGCCTTCCTTTCTAACAGTCAGTGGTAGATTTTAACAATAGAACAATGTATTGATAATCATTGTTCCACTTTAATCATGACCATGAGTTATTTTCCGTTTTCTTATTACATCGTCTTCGGAGCGGGAGGCATTTGTTTATCATCTTGGGTCGAGATAAACACTTAATAGAAATCTAACACGCAGGTTCCTCTGAGCAAACATTTACTTATCGAACATGTACATGTAGTTTTGGGTGGAACACGACGTTAACCGGGCGCCTGGAGCACTGCTTCTGGTGTTTCTGCTGGTGACATTCATTACCTTCAAAGAAATACGGTGGACAACAATACTCTTTCTACGGAGATTCAAAGAGCGTCACACGACATTAATCAGGTTTAGAACATTCAATGCCTTAGTAAAGCTTTCAAACGGTTTTATGGTTGACATGTTGAGGACATTTCCCAAACTGACGAATCGGTGAAAAATAGGATGTCTGATGCAATTTCCTGTTTTGAAGCGTGCCCGTGTTTTCTCAGGTGCACAATTGACTTGCCTGTGCAAGTGTTTGTGGCGGGTGCCACAGATGGGGCAGGATATGCTCACCTATTTGCGAACAACTTGTATCATCACTTTTTGATAGTGATTCATACACATACGTCGAAACCGTGCAATGGACGCCGCATTTGGCAGATATTTCTAATGATCATGGAAAGGAGTGTGTCGATTTTTATTTGATCAGATATATCCATCCAAAGGTGGGACATATGTACGTTTTGATATCAAGACTTTTTTCGGCAAGGAGGGAATTTGGGTTACAAAACGGCGTGGAGCTATAAAACTGTTTGTCCTGAATTAGAACTAACAAGTCAATTAGAACCTACATTAGACATAGCTATTTCAAAGTGACTCCTAGACACATGCTCAATATACACTCAAAAATAGAAACGCACAGGTAGATTTTAAGCAAACGTATTGTACCTAATAACGTCGATGTATCAAATTTATTATCAGAGAAAAAATATATGACATTTTGGAGCTCGATAGTCACATGTTGTCGTTGTACAAAGGCATTGAAAACTGTTCATTGTCATGTCACATAAAGCCACAATGTTGCGCTGAACTCAGTATATCGTATGATCGCCCCGGGCAGCAATCACGGCTCTGCATCTCCACTGACTGGATAAGTGTACGAATTCTGTCCTGCGGAATTCTGCGCCATTCAGCTTGCAACGCGTTGGCCAGTTGTGGGAGTGTCTGCGGCGTGTTCTGGCGTTGACGCACACGTCGAGTTCATCCCAGAGGTGTTCGATTGGGTTGAGATCTGGAGATCTCGACGGCTAGGGCAAGTCGTTGATGTTGGCATTATGAAGGTAGTCTTCCGCGACACGAGCTGTGTGCGGTGGAGCGTTGTCCTGTTGAAACATGTCCCTCTGGCAGTCAATGATTGGAAGAAGGTGAGGTTGAAGAATCTGATTCATGTAGCGATTTGCTGTCAAATTTCCCTGAACCACAACCAAGTCAGATCTCGTGGTGTAGAAGATGGTCCCCCACACTATGACACTACCGCCACCGAATTGGTCGAATTCACGTACACAATGTGGGGCAAAGCGCGATGTGGGACGATAAACAAGTTGTCGTCCATCTCGCCGGTGAAGAAGAAATTGTGATTCACCGCTAAACCACACTCGTCTCCAGTTTCTCACATCCAAGTCTGTAAGGTGTGGCACCAAAGCAAGCGTCGCTGTCGATGCATCTTTTGCAAAATGGGGACGATAACTGGTCTTCTGGGTCGGATTCCAGCCTCGCGAAGATGGTTCCTGACAGTCTGGTCCGATATCCTCCTCAAACCAGGGATGCCTCCTTCGTCTCCGTAGCTGTGGCATTGCGATGACGTAGGTGGAACAGTTGAATGTAGCGATCCTGTGCGGGGGTGGTAACTCTTTGTCGGCCGTTCTCGGACGGTCTGCAGTAAAATTGAACTGTGTGTATCGGTCACAAAGGCGGCAAATGGTGCTATGGTGGACGTTAAAGTGGCGTGCAACTGAAGACTGCGATTCCCCATTTTGGATACGTCCTATGGCGGTGTTCCGATTGACAGTGCCGAGTCTCGGCATTTTCGAACTTGAAAAATGTTGACAATTGAATGACAAATTATTGGCTTATGCTTGCCTTTGTATAGCCACTACCACGAGTTACGTATACCATTACTCGCACGTGCATTTTGCTTCACTTTTTTGACGCACCGTTTGTCGAATATCAGGCCACCAATATTTTCCAATAACATATATCCAATTTATATACCGGATTCTGTGTGTAGTCAGGTTCAATGAACTACATACTACCTGTGCGTTTCTTTTTTTGAAGAGTGTATGGTCTGAAACCCCTTGTGATTATGGTAAGGGTTTGTCGCGAACGGGAATGCGATAATTATCCAAGTCACTGACTGCACAATCAATTTAAGTAGACTTTTACGACAAGCCTACGCGTACGTTACTCATTCTATCCAACGGGATGTTTGTATGACATAGGTTGGCTTTCACGATGATTAAATTTTAATAATTAAAAAACACCAAGTATTCTGTCAGTGGAAGAATGAGTGTTACATTTGTTGCGACAAGTTTATACTTTGGATTTTGATATAGATAACAGTCCCAGTCGTACATATGCAGACTTGTATTGGTTTTGCTCACACCACTAAATATAAAACACCAACGATCAGTCTCGATTATATGACGAGACATACTCCACTGGGTGATAAAGGCAAAATATTACAGTGAAAGCCATATGATCATGAATGGCTCACTGACAAACCAGTGTGCCATCCCTTCCCCTCCTCCTCCCCCTCCCTTCACCTCTCCATATTTGTGTGCCTCCGGCATACCACTTGCCATCCAATGTAACAGCTCATTATTCATATCGGTGTACACATTTTTTTGGACATAGAATGCATAACCGCGCGTACTCATAAGCTTAGGGCTAAATATTTCATTGATTGGCATGAAAATATGACGCTTTTTTTGGAACACTGAAATATTGACATCCGCGTTCCAGTGTGACCGTGCCTTGGTTAGACGATCCGATTGAGATGACATGGTTGTATGCCTTGTTGCGGGGTTTCATTATTGCGTGAAGAGCAGCAGACACAGGGGGGTTAGCGCTACTCCCTTCCAACGCTACCGTATGTTTGACAACAAACACAGTAAAGATATTATGACATGATGGTTTCCCTGTAAAAAAACAACTAAAGCTCTATTATCTATAACTTAAAACGCACGTTTCCTTTAATCAGCTAGTTTGTGCATTAAAACTCTCACCTGGATAAGTGTTTTCTAAATATTTACCATATGTTCTAAAGCGGGCGCAATCATTACAATTTGACACGAAGAAACACTTGAGTGCATATTGTTCAAATAGTTAACGACAAAGTCAAAGAACATCTACATGAGTGCGGTCTGTAAAATATTCCAAGCTTACCAGGCAAACCATTGAATAAATGGCAACAATCCCCACCTATGGAGTACCATGTAAGGCATGTCACGTAACCATTTCGTGACCACACGACCCAGTTTAGTCCGAATCGGCAGATGCAACACGCATGATAATGAGGAACTCCTGTCCTATTTTAATCAGACTCCGTGGTCTAGTGGATAGAGAGCATCTGCCCAGAGACCCCGCAAGATACTTGTTGTTCTATGTAAATATGTTTTAGCCCTAAGCTATCGTCTCACAGCCTAAACACCACCTAAACACAACAGCCCCATAATCTAAACATGTTTACATTTCAAACATGTTCACAACAAAATGCATATCATTCTAATGATCAAAACACGTTTCAAATTTAATCGGGTTTAAATAAAGTGCATATTCATTGGGCACTAAATCGATAGGATATTTAACATATATTGAAACTGTGCAAATCACTTGTGCAAATCAGATTCACGGGCACTTACATACATATATAGCACCAGGACTTACAACATATTTGGTACAATATTTACATAATAGTGTCCAAATAAACCAAGCTAAGATTATTGTGACTAGAAACATTGACGTTCAATAAGTCAACAATCTCCGGAGCACAAGCGGTAGAGTGAAGGACTAATCCTTCCCACATGCAGCTCTTAAACACAATCTGCAACATTGCTCATAATCTAAAAAAACGTTTAGACTCGAAACACGTCAATATTATGGGACAAGGAAACCGCTTAGGTAGTCTGGACTCGAACAAGCACACACACATACACACACACACACACACACACACACACACACACACACACACACACACACACACACACACACACACACACACACACACACACACACACACACACACACACACACGTTCGAACGCACTTTTCTATATAGTATACATATAAGAGCCCACATCATGAACGATGGTACTATTATCGTATTCAATGACACAAACACATCGCGACACGTGTAAATGAGACAAGGAAACCGCTTAGATTTGTGTTTAGGATTTAAACACATTTTCTACAGTGTAGTCTGGACTCGTACAAGCACACACACACACACACACACACACACACACACACACACACACACACACACACACACACACACACACACACACACACACACACACACACACACACACTCTCTCTCTCTCTCTCTCTCTCTCTCACACACACACACACACGCGCACGCTCGAACGCACTTTTCTATATACATATAAGAGCCCACATCATGAACGATGGTACTATTATCGTATTCAATGACACAAACACATCGTGACACGTGTAAATGAGAGATACTATCACTGGTAAAGTAACGTTCGACTGTTTCTGCACTGTAAATATTTGTTACGTCCTGTAGAAACATTACTTACACAAAACATGTTTTCTGAGTTCAGCGGCTTAAAAACATTCAAAGGTACAGATGATATTGAATTTTCCCCTAAGGTTCATTTAGTGCGCAAGCCCCTCTGACAATGTCATTACACTT